GCAGCGCAACTCCTTACCCACTAGCCCATCATGTCCTCTAAGCAATTTGTTGTTCCTAGTGAGCCAGCATTTCTGATTCATGCAGGGCTTAAAATAGGTTCATTTCATTTAAACCCTGCTGAGAATTTGCATGTCTACCTGAGATATGCTGGGATACAATCCATTTTTATAAACTTCCTGTTTCAAACAACTAAGGGAATTTGTTAAAAGTGGTTTCTATTTCTGGATAAGCAGCACACAATTTAGTGATTTGACCCTTTCGTCTGATAACAAGGCAGAGCTGCAATCTCATGAGGTTGACTGAACTTTGGTCTGAGGAGGAAGGCTGTTAACTGATAAGATTCGAGATGTATCAGCAGCTGAACTGCATTTTGTATTTATTATATGTGAATAAACGGAAAACCAACAGTTTGAGTTCACCAGCTGCACCAAAGGAGAAACTTGGGCAATCTTGTAGTGAGTTACAGCCTCAGAAACATGATGAAGGGATGCTATAAGCCGGAAGTGACGGTAGTGGGTTCGCTGTGTGAGAGATGCTGGCTAAGAGTTAGGCTGGCAGAGAAACACAGCCAAGTAGTCCTGCAGCTGCTAATCTCCGCTGGCTAAGAGCCAGACTAGATAGAATTCCAATAGAGAATATGTAAATCAAAGTCCAGCAATGTCACCTTTCCCAAACAGCTGTTTAACTGCTGTGTGGTTACACTCTTAGGACATGCATACTGAGATGTTTAAGGGGGCTTGATGTTTGCTACCCATAGAAAGTACTCCTAAATGTTGGGGAAGGAGAATTATAGAATGCCATGTGACACGCTTTAACGTTGTGGTTATGTGGTATCGAGTTGCTTGCGACTCATAGTGACCCTATGTACAACAGCCCTAAACTCTGTTCTGTCCTGTGCCAATCTCATTGTCTCCGACACACTCATCCCGATTACCCCAGTCACCAAATCAATCCACCTCCTAGAGGGCCTTTCCCTCCTGCGGTGTCACCTCCACCCTCCCAAGCATGATGTCCATCTCCAAGGACCAGTCTCTCCTTACAACATGTCCAAAGTATGTCAGACGAAGACTCAGAATCCTTGCCTCCAAGGAGCAGCCTGGTTTAACCCTCTCCAGGATGAATCTGTTTGTTTTCTTGGCAGTCCAGGGTACATTCAATACTCTTTCTCCAGCACCACAACTCAAAGGCATCAATTCTCCTTCTATCTTCCTTAGTCGTTGTCCAACTCTCTGACACACCACAAGTGATTGTTTTAACATTAGCATGACTATATGAGAGCTATATTAACACTTGATCGTGTTAATGTGAAACCTATACTTGGACCAAGAGGCAGTCGTCAGAAGAAAGCAAGGAAACACTGCATGGTTCAAAATTGGGAAGAGTGTACGCCAGGGACGTGTTCTGTCTCCATACCTTTTCAACCTGTATGCAGAACAGATCATCTGGGAGGCTGGGCTCTATGAGGAGAAATGCAGCATCAGGATTGGTGGAAGATCTATCAACAATCTGCGATATGCAGATGACACAACCCTGCTTGCTGAAACTGAGGAGGACCTGAAGCGCTTGCTGCAGAGGTTCAAAGACTGCAGCCTTCAGTATGGATTGCGGCTCAATGTCAAGAAGACAAAGATTCTCACGACTGGACCAACTGGCAGCATCAGGATGGATGGTGAAGAGATTGAGATTGTTCACAGCTTCAGTTTCCTTGGCTCCACAGTCAACACTCTTGGCACCAGCATCCAGGAAATTAAAAGATGTATTGCGAAGTCTACTGAAGAGCAATGGTGTCTCTCTGGAGACTAAAGTGCGTCTGATACAGGCCATGGTCTTTGCAATCACTTGTTATGCATCAGAGTTGGACAATGACTAGGGAGGACAGAAGGAGAATTGATGCCTTTGAGAAGAGTTGGAGAAGAGTATTGAGGGTACCATGGACTGCTAAGAAAACAAATAGATTTACCCTGGAAAGGGTCAAACTGGGCTGCTCCTTGGAGGCAAGGATTCTGGGGCTTCCTCTGACATACTTTGGTCATGTTGTAAGGAGAGACCGGTCCTTGGAGGACATCATGCTTGGGAGGGTGGAGGGCAGGCGCAGGAGGGGAAGGCTCTCTATTAGGTGGATTGATTCTGTGACTGGGGTAATCATGATGCGTGTGTCGGAGACAGTGATATTGGCACAGGATAGAGCTGAGTTTAGGGCGGTTGTACATAGGGTCGCTATGAGTCGCAAGCAACTCCACGGCACATAACAACAACATATGGGAGCTTTGAATATATGGGAGTTCTTTGACCAAGTCTTTTAACTTTTCCAAAAGTCATTTAAAAAGAGTTTTAAAAAAAATAACAGTATTTAACACTCCGTATTATGTACAAACCCAAGACTCTAAAGCATATTCTGAAGACGGAGACATTGGGTGTCCTTAATGTGACAAACTGTTTATAAAGTGCTTCTGACATCCTTAGTAATTATAAGGATGCACTGTGATTCTCACTATAGTGTAAATTCGATGCCAGAGTCATTCAAGTGTAGAATCCGCTTAGAAATGGAGATTTCTAAATGATGCAACAGGCTGTACCAGCTGTTCAAATTCACAGGCCCCAGAATAAAAAAACCTCTGGGGAATGATCCAGGAATCTGCTTTTCTACAAGTCCTACGAGTGATTCTAAAGTCGAAGTAAAAACTCAGAAGCGTCTCATAGCTGGCCCTCCACTGGGCTGGAGCTCTGGTGGCCCAGTGGGAAGAAGCCGTGCTGCAATCCTGAAGTCGAGCGGTTCGAGTTCATCAGTTATTCTGCGGGATGGGCTATGTCCCGTGAGATTAACTTCCTCCGCAAACCCGCAAGAGGGACGTCTATGGGTCGGTTCCGACTCGATGATACACAACAACTCACAAGGGACGAAACTGCCATCTTCGTCTCCGGGAGCAGCTGGGTTGAGTGTTAAATTCATTTGAACACGTCTCTGGGTTGGGCAGCACTTAGGCCACCAGGGCTCCCCCAAGGACCCATCAGGGCCTCAACTAGCGTGCAGATCGTCATCTCGGATTGCATGGACAGGGGACCCTTAAATGCACACGTCAGTGCAGGAAGGCCAGCGCGCCTCCTCCGGGCACTCCCCCGCCGCTGGCGGCCGGGACCCCCGGCTGGGTGGGGAGCTGCGGCCGGACGGGGCGGGCCGAGGCCGGCGTCCCCGCCTCCCGATCGTCCCCCTCCTTCCTCTCCGTCCTCCTTCCTCTCGTCCTCATCCGTCCTTCCTTCCGCCGGCGCTATGGGGACGCAGCGCGGGGCCGTGGCGCTGCTGGCGCTCGTGTGCGCGGTCTGGGCGCCGCGCGCCGGGCACGCGCAGTACGAGCGCTACAGCTTCCGCAGCTTCCCGCGCGACGAGCTGATGCCGCTCGAGTCGGCCTACCGCCACGCGCTGGACCAGTACAGCGCCGAGCACTGGGCCGAGAGCGTGGGCTACCTGGAGGTCAGCCTGCGGCTGCACCGCCTGCTGCGCGACAGCGAGGCCTTCTGCCACCTCAACTGCAGCGCGCCGCCCGCGCCCGCGCCCGCTGCCGGCCTCGCCCGCTACCCCGAGCTGCGGCTCTTCGGAGACCTGCTCCGCCGCGCGCACTGCCTCAAGCGCTGCAAGCAGGGGCTGCCCGCCTTCCGCCAGTCGCAGCCCAGCCGCGAGGTCCTGGCCGACTTCCAGCGCCGCGAACCCTACAAGTTCCTGCAGTTCGCCTACTTCAAGGCAAGTCAGCCCCGCCCCGCGCGGCCCCGCCCCCGGACGACGTCCCCGGGCCAGGACCCGACCCGGAGGAGGTCCCGCGTTAGGCCCCGCCCCGGGCTGAGTCCTGCGCGATAGCCACGCCCACTTCCCAGACCCCTGCATCCACAGGCCCCGCCCCAGAACCCGCGGTCCCGTCCCGGCGTCCACAGACCCCGCCCTCAGGCAGCCGCCTCAGCTCAGGCCCCGCCCTCCGTCTGCGTCCTGCGCACAGGCCCCTCCCCCGGACGACGTCCCTGGGCCAGGCCCCGCCCTGGGCTGCGTCCTCTGCGCAGGCCCGTCCCCGCTCCGCCCCTGGCGTCCACAGGCCCCGCCCCACCACCCGTGGTCCCGTCCCCTGCGTCTACAGACCCCGCCCTCAGGCAGCCACCTCCTCAGACCCCGCCCCCAGGGTGCCGCCTCAGCTCAGGCCCCGCCTCCAGGCAGCCGCCTCTGCAACCCAAGACCCTGTCCCAGGTGCCCACAGACCCCCACCTCCCACCCGCGTCTCCCCCACCTCCGTCCAGGCTGCATTTTCAGGTCAGACCCCAGGCATACCTAGGCTATGTCCTCGGGTCAGGTCCCGCCCCAGGCTACGTCTTCAGGTCATGCCCCGCCCACGACTCAAAGCCACGCCCAGACACGGAAGTCGCCCAGTGCCCGCCCATGTTCTGAAGCCACGCCCCCATGTCCCGCCCACTTTCTAGGCCCCCCTTTTTTTGCCATTAATTTTAATGAAAGTTAGGGTTTCCAGTCATTCGTTGTTTCACTTTTCTCCCAGCTCACCGTCTCCCCCAAATCACTCTTCTCCTTGAAAAGAAAAAGAAAAACTCTCACTGTTTTGCAATCCCATCCTCCAAGTTGACTCCACTATGCCGCCTTCACTTTGGAATTCTGTAATGACAAGAATACTATATCCCTCTGGTGGCCTAGTGGCAAGGAGCTGCAACTACAATCCCAGAGGCGCATGGTTCGAATCCACCAGATGCTCTGCCGGGGAAGGAGGGACAATTTCCTCCTGTACCAGTCAGATCTGATTTGATGGTACACACACACACACACACACACACACAAACAATAAAGAAAAGGAAAAAAATAATAAAAAAAGAATACTATATCCCTTTTAAGCAGATCTCTCCCTCATCTGTTTCATGCAGTGTACATCATTCCTCCCCTTCTTTTCTGTCTTCCCTCAACCCTGATGTCAGTCCCATTTTACAACAGTGGTCCTATGCAATATTTGTCCTTTTGTGACTGAGATATTTCACTCAGCATAATGTCTTAAATAGAGTGTTGTTATTGTTTTGTACTGATCCCACAAAGCTGATCCTCCAGCGAGTTTTCAGAGGCAGTTTAATCTCACAGTAGGAAGGTTCTCATCTTTCTGCCTCAGAGCAGCTAGTGGATTTGAACTGCTTGCCTTCAGGATTGCAGTGCAGCTTTTAACTGCTAGGCCACCAGAACTCTCTGGGAGACGTCATTACATCTCAGTAGTTTGGAGAGGCCCCTGACTATAGGCTTTCCCAGGGCAAAACGTCTCCTGATTTCCCGAGTGTTAGAACCAAGGTGTTGCTGACTGTGGATCCAAGTAAGATGAAGTCGTTGACCGTATCAGTCTTTTCTCCATCCATCATGATGTTTTCTGTTGGTCCAATGGCGAGGAATTTTGTTTTCTTGATATTGCAAGGTACTGGACTAGTAGTACTCAACAACAACTTAAATAGAGATGAAAATAATCTTCTTAAAAGGTTCCTTTAAGACAGGAAATAACGCCCATAGAACTCCTTGCACCTACCTAGCTTTTAGGAAGTGATCAATCACTGTTACCTGTTATATGAGGGCAAGCTCTTTAGTATATAAGGGAGCTCTGGTGACTTTGTTGTGCTGCCAGTTCAAAGGCAGGTGGTTCAAATCCACCAGCTGCTCCAAGAGAGAAAAATGGGCAGCCTTCTCCCATTCTGGAGAGTCAGCTCTAGGTGGATTCTGACTCTGGCAAGTGAGGGGTTGGTTTGGTTTTTTTCTTTCATATGTGTCATAAAATCCACTTGACTCAAGCAAGAGGGACTTGAGCTGACAGAGTAGGAAGAAGCTGAGAAAGCAGCTAGTCCCTGTCACAGAGTAGGACATTTTGGTTAGGGAGGCATGGGGACAAATTGAGTGGACACTCCCAGGCTCAATGGAGCCGAATGTGTGGACCGTGTCAGGGCTGGTCATTCATCTAGGAACTGTTCTCTGATTGCTGGCTAAAAATAGCCATAAGTGGCGTGCAATTCCCTGTCCTGAGAGTCTTTACTGTGGGGACCAGGAAGGTTTGAGAATATGCTGAATTCTCTGTTTTGTTGACTTAAGAGGCTTTCTCTTTGCAAATCTTCACAGGGGGGTTCACCAAGAAAACCCTTTCAAAACCAGTTTCTGCTTTCTGTTATTGGAAAAAAAATGTAATAAATAAATTGCCTTGACTTTTAATGACTATAAAAAAATAGATGTATGGACAATAAAAATAGATCTATGGCATATCCCAGCCTCTCAAGTAGTTTTTGGTTTTTAAAACCTTGCTTTGAGTCATTGGATTATAAAATCTGTTTTTCATATTTTCACCCAGACTGAGCCACGCGTCAGCATTACACCACCACCAAACTGGCAGTAGAAGACTCCTTGTTATTTCCGTGCTTGCTTGGTTATGTATCAGTTGTGTGACTAACCTGGCTGGCACTAAAAGGATCTAAAATAAAACCAGAGGATAGTAATACAATCCCAGGACAAACAAAAATGATTGCTGCTTCATACGAACACTGTTTTATTAAGCTAGAAATTGCCTTGTTTTATTCTCTTGGTGTGCGTGTGTGTGCATTTGCAGCTTTAGACAAATAACAGTCTGAACTAAGTTTGGATCACATAATTAAAGGGAGGAGGAAAGAGGAGGGCACATTTTATTTTTAAACCTGAAGATAGTAGGAAGTTTGAATTCTTTATATACATATGAATTAGAAATTAGCGCTTTAGGGAGAAGAAGGGCGTTTGACTCAATGAGACGAGAAGACATGAGCTTTCTTTTTTACCATCGTAGCCTCAGAAAAGCATGAATACAGCTTCTTTCAAAACTCTTTATAGGTCTCACGAGGATCACATGCTTCCAGTCAGTGAAATATCATCTGCCTCAGTATTTTTGGGTCTCCTTGGGACAAATGTCTTAGTACCTAGTCCACCATAGCTGAGGTAGAAAAAAAATGGGTGACTTTAAAGAACAGGAGTTTATTTTTTCTCTAGACTGACATCATTACTCTTTAGCACTCTGGAGATGTCCCTGACAACATATTTTCCTAATGCAACTTGTCTGGTGTTGAGAGTATTTACATGGAGCTGAAATTATTAACCGTCTCAATCTCTTCTCCATCTATCATGATGCTGCCAGTTGGCTCAGTGGTGAGAATCTTTGTTTTCTTTCTTTTTTTTTTTTTAATTTTTGTGTGCGTGTACCGTCAAATCAGATCTGACTGGTACAGGAGGAGATTATCCCTCCTTCCCCGGCAGAGCATCTGGTGGATTCGAACCATGCGCCTCTGGGATTGTAGTTGCAGCTCCTTGACACTAGGCCACCAGAGCTCCCCATGTGAATCTTTGTTTACTTGATGTTGCGCTTCAATCCATGTTGAAGACTGTAGCCCTTGACCTTTTGCAGCAAACACGTCGGGTCCTCTTTAATTTGGGTGAGCGAGGTTGTACCATCTGTATAATACAGGTTATTGATGAGTCTTCTTTCAATCCTGATGCCACATTGCTCTTCATAAATCCAGCCTCCGGAATGATCTGTTCTGCGTATAGATTGAAAAGGTATGGAGACAGAATGCATCCCTGGCACACTCCTTTCCTAATTTTAAACCATGCGGTTGTCAAAACAAAGCAAGGAAATACTACATTGGTCACTGTGAATTGTACTCAATTTGACGAGACCTTACAACAAAGTAATTTCTTAAATAACAAGCCTTTGAAAACCCTATGAACACTAGAGAATCAACGATAGTTCTAGAATAGGGTTCAGATCTTTTTTTCCTTAGGGTTACTGTGAGTCCTCCTTGACTCCATGGCACTTAACAACAACAACAAAATAAATAGGTTGAAACATCACCAGCATATATAGGTGGGCGAAGTGACACCAGTGTGTACATCCTCGTGGTATCTGGAGGCTGGAGGACAATGCCTGGGGCTGGTGCCACAGCTTGGTGTTAGTAACACATGGACCTGTGTTACCTTGCCATTCTGATTCAGCCGCACTCCCAGGACCCAGGCAGACCATTATTTTAAAGATGTTTTAACAATGCCAGAATTGAGCACAAGACTGGAGAAGACAGGTGTGAAATGTCCTGGTGGAGCAAGGAGACTTAGCTATGTGACCTAGAACACCAATACCCAGCCAGGTACCCACCAGTCACCAACCAGTCACCCCTGATCCCTGGTGTCCCTGAGGGTCAGGCAGAACTGCACTTCATAGTGGTTTTCAGTGACTGGTTATTTTTAAAGGATTAGGACTTTGTGTCAACGTGCCTCTGAGTGGACTTGTCCTTGCTGCTTTGTGCTTAGCATCTGAGTGCATTAAGCATTTGTACCACCCAGGGATTGAAATGCCTTTGATGTGTGGCTCCTGAGTCTACCAAAGGCCCTGGGTCACCCGCCTATGTTAGGTTTCACATCACAGCCTCACTGCTGTCTTCCATGAAAGGCTCGTCTTTGCCACAGCCCAGAGAGGGAGCAGGTGCCAGCTCTATATCAAATTCCTTATGATCTGAGCTGGACAGGGCTCACGCACTTGCTCCTCCTCCACACTCCAGTGGAGGCCGCATTCCAGTCTGGGAAGGCCCTCTTTCTCCTGCTTCATCTTCCACACCAGCCAGCTTCTTCCGGCAGCTCCCTCGTTTAACATCCCCAGCTCTTTAAATCTGCTAAGCTTTCTGAAGAGAACAGGGCTTTTGTGAGAGAAGAAATTTCTGTGTTCTGACCTGATGCCTTCTCTGGGTGGCTGTAAACCATCAAACCAGGGCTGCCGCCCAAATGGGAAATAGAGACCATGGGCAAAGGAAAAGTAAGGAAAATATCAGTTCCTTTTTCAAACTATTATGCGATCAGTGCAGTCTATTGAAATCATCAATACTTAGGGTGTCTTTCTTTGTGCTGAGTCCTGTTCCAGACACCAGGAATGTGGTCATAAATAATGCACAATTATTCAAGGGGAATAGGGAGCTCTGGTGGCCTAGTTGCTAAGAAACTGTGCTGCAGTCCTGAAGGCATGTGGTTCAGATCTACCAGTTGCTCTGGAGGAGAAAGATGGACAATCTCCTCCTGTACAATTTAAGTACCTCTTAAAATCTACTGGAGAGTCAGCTATGGGTCAGTTCTGACTCTGTGGTACACAATAACAACAAAACATTCAAGGGGTAGATACATTAGTTGAGATACAGTACTGTGTGAAAAGTAAGAAGATATTTCATGGCTGGAGTGTAAAAGACAGATATAAATTCAGATTGTCGCGAAGGAGGGAGACCTTCCTGGAACATTTGATCCATGAGGAAGGGCAGAGATGCTGTTTACCTTGGAAGTTTTTTGCTTGCTACTGACTCATTCTCTTTCTTTTTTGATAATTTTTCTATTATTCCCATCTTTCTTTTTGACTTTATTGTGATTCAGGTGAAGGTTTACAGCACAGATCAGTTTTCCATTCAATAATTCTGTTTTCTTTCATGCCATTGATGGCGGTCCCCACAGGGGAACAGCACCCCCTGGGTGCTCCCCTTTCTTACCCCTCCTCCTCTCCAGTCCTTCCTGGCTTGTGAGCCTTCGCCTTGGGCACATGGTGACCATTGAGCTCACATGTTTGATTGTTCTAAGGAGTGTGTCACTCTCTAGTTTTCACCTGACATTGTAATGTGCTGTTGTGTTAGAACCTACTCATAACAGACCCTCTGGCAGGTTTTCAGAGACTGTAAATCACACGGGAGTAAATTTCCCACCTTTCTCCTGTGGAACAGTGGCATTCCTTACCCACTGACATCAGAATTCCATTCACCTTGTAGACCTGCCTATTGTTTGACTGGAAATGGAGCTATAGGGGTGAGGTCAGTTCTAGACCTGCAGTGCAGACCCACTTTGGAGAACAGTGGCTAACATAGGAGAGGCTCCCAGCAAATGTTTGCTCAGTGAAAATGTAAGTGAGAAGCTGGTGAGAATTGTCTCAAGAATTTGAGCAGAAAAAGCGTGAGAAGGTTCTGTGAAGGAGTTGGGTAAACGTTAATGCATTGGTTCAGGTTCCGGGAGAAACATGTGAGCAGTCACATGCAGTAATTTGAAGGAAGCTGAATAGAAGGTGTGGAGGGTATGGGGCATCCGTGCGTGGTGGGGTGGTACCCAGGACAGGTAGCGATGGGTGTGTTGTTGGCCATTGTGTCAGCTCCTGATGCATGATGACCTCATGCACTCTGGAGGGATTACTGTGCTCATCAGCATTTTCATTGGCTGGTTTTTTGGTGGCCTCCTGGGGAGAGGAATTGCACTGTTAACCCAAATGTGGTACCTTTCGAGGTTCAAATCCACCAGCCACTTGTTGGGAGAAAGATGGGTCATTTCTTCCTGTGTGATTTACAATCTCTGGCAATCTGCTGGAGGGTCAGCTCTGACTGTTCTGACTCGACGACATTGAATTTGAGGTTTTTTTTAAATTTTATTACTTTTTGTGTGTGTATCGTGAAATCAGATCTGACTGATACAGGAGGACATTGTTCCTCCTTCTCCAGCAGAATGAATTTGAGTTTTTAAAAGCTTTTCTGAAGTGGATCACCTGGCCTTTCCCCCTAGTCTTGTCTTAGTCTAGAAGTTCCGCTGAAACCTGTTTACCATCATAGCAGTGCTCCAGGCCCCACTGAGTGGTGGCTGCCCTTGCGGTTCATTGACCAGGAAACAAAACCCAGTTCTCCAGGGAGGGTGAGAAATTATATCAATAAAACCCTACAACCCTCAGCAGTGGGGTATGATCACCTCCGAGGCCAGAAGGGGCATGGGAGAGAAATACTGGAAATACAAAAAGTGGTGCACAGGTTAAAGGATTAGACTGTTAACCAAAAAGGTGGTCATTTAAACCCCAAACTTTGTAAAGATTTCCACCCTTGGGAACCCTGTGGGTAGTTCAGCTCTGTGTTATGAGCTGGAATCAGCTGATGGCTCTGGGAAGAAAGAGACAGTATGGAGAAGGCCATGTCAAGAAGAGCTGTGACTGTAGGTAAGGGACCAGCATTCTGAGGGGACTGGACTGTAAGGGACTCAGGAGGCTAAGTCACCTACCTTAACTCTCATGCCTTCCTTCTGTCTTCTTCTGGGGCTCCTCGATGGTGAATCCAATAGGGAGCCGGAGAGCGAGGCTGGCTATTGTTACAGACCCACCTCCATGAGCACAGAGCAGGTGGAGACAGTGGAGGGGTGACTGGGAAATTCACAGAGATGCTATCCTACTATCCTAACAGTCACCTTCCGGGGAAGAGCACACATCCAGGGTTTCTGGATCATTCTTAAGGGACCCTGAATGTCATTCTTTTTTTTTTTTTTTACATCTTTTATTATTTTTTGTGTGTGCAGTGCGGTTGGCGCAGGATAGAGCAGGGTTTAGGGCTGTTGTGCATAGGGTCGCTATGAGTCGCAAATGACTCGACAGCACATAACAACAACAACCATCAATTCTGATCTGACTGGTACAGGAGGAGATTGTCCCTCCTTCTCCAGCAGAGCATCTGGTGGATTTGAACCATTCTCCTCTGGGATTGCAGTGCAGCTTCTTTCCAGTTGAGCGCCAGAGCTCGCCTGGATGTCATTCTTAAAGAACCCTGGAGTGTCATTGAACCCCCAGCTGGAAACATTGTGTATCAGTGCAGAATTCCTAAAGATCTGGATAGATACTTGTTTTCCAAAAGCCACTATTCAGCACTCATTGGATGACTTTCCTCTTTCTTCTTTGTACTCAGGCAAATAATTTCCCGAAGGCCATCGCCGCTGCGCACACCTTTCTCCTGAAGCACCCTGATGACGAGATGATGAAGAGGAACATGGCGTATTACAAGAGCCTGCCCGACGCAGAGGACCACATTAAAGACTTAGAAAGCAAGTCGTACGAGGTATGTTCAGATTCTTACACAACGATGCATCGGCATGCGAGTTGTTAAAGAAGGTCTATCTTAGTTAGCTGTTGACATCTAAGACCCATTAGTGATTTTTGTGATGTGTTATGAGTATCATGGCAATGATTGAAGAAGTGCTTGGCTTTGAATACATGTATTCACTTAAGAACAAGTCTTTACATTCCATGGTAATTTCAAAGCTACCATTCCTTTCACTGCTGTATGTTAGAGATAGGATCATTTGATCATTCAGCTCTAAGATGGAGAAATAAAGAGGCGTTTTGGAAATCGTTCCCAGATGACCAGCATCTTAGTTACCTCGTGCTGCTGTAACAAAGTGATACAAGTAGGTGTCTTACAGAACCAAAGGATGTTTCTTCACTGTTTGTGTGTCTGAAAGTTAAATCAGGGTCCTGGCTGTGTTCATTCCTTCCTTGCAGGGAGTTCCTATTGGTTCTTTGGTTTGTGGAAAGCCTTCGTGTGGCTTCTGTCCTCTCCCACGTGTGCACATCTCTGCGTCTTTGCTCTCTTTGATAACACAGAAGAGACTCGAGTTATATCCCACAGTCCTCAGGTTATGATCTGAGACCCACTGAACAGAATTGTATGAGTCAGTTCTGACTCCTGGTAACCCTCCATTGGAAAGAGTGGAGTTAGCCCGCGCAGTGACTCACCAAGGTAGAGTAGACCTGCCCTGCCTGATTTCCAAGGATGTGAAGCTATACGGAAATAAACTACATCACTGCGTCGCATTTGTCTTCTACCTGGTGGCTGGTGGGCGTGAACTGCCGCTCTTTCAATTAACTACCAATGCTTCAAACCACTGCATTACCAGAGAAAAAATAATTTGTTGTTGTTGTTGTAGTTGTAGTGATTCACATGTGACTCAAAACGACCTTATGAGCAGCAGATCTGAAACCCTGTCCTCTCCTGTGCCATCCTCATCGTCTCTGACATTGCTTCAGTCACGGTGTCAGTCTATCGCTTCTCTCTTTTCACTCACCCTTCCAAGCATAATGTCCCTCTCCAAGGAACAGCCTCTCCGAGGAACACACCCAAAGTGTGTGAGGCGAAGCTTTGTCATCTTTGCCTCCAAGGAGCACTCTGGCTGCACTTTCTCTAAGACGAACCCGTTTGTTCTTTTGCCAGTCCATGGATATTCAGTAGTTTTCTCCAGCACCACAGCTCAAAGGCATCAATTCTCCTTCTGTCCTCCCTAGTCCTTGTTCGGCTCTCTGACGCATAACAAGTGATTGCAAAGACCATGGCCCGTATCGGGCACACCAGTTTCTATAGATTTGCCTTTTCTTTGATTCAAATTTTATTTTGTTATCAAATACCACCTTCATTTTAAAGTACAAAACCCAGATTCATTACTGTTGAGTCAGCTGAGCCTTTATTCCATTTTTCAAGGCTGTAAATCTCACGGGCTGGGGATGAGATTGTCCATTTTTCTCCTTCAGAGCTGCTGCTGGAGTCAAATCACAAGAGAAGGGTGGACTTCGGGTTGGCAGCATGACTCCCTGTGGACTGTGCCACCAGGGCCATCTACATTGGGAATTAAATAACAAATGTGCCCACTGTGGGGGTAGGAGAATCTAGCCAGAGAGTCGGTCAGCATTTAGCTTCATGGTCGAGTAAGAACTGATGTGATTTCTTCAGAACGAATAAGGTGCTGGGGGACGGCCTGGAGCCCTCTGGCCAGCCCGTGTCCACATCCCTCCATGGCCTGAACCATCCTCACCTGCTGCCTGTATTTCAGAGCCTGTTTATCCGAGCCGTGCGGGCCTACAATGGCGAGAACTGGAGAACTTCCGTCACCGACATGGAGTTGGCCCTGCCGGACTTCTTCAAAGCCTACTACGGGTGTCTGGCAGCCTGTGAAGGCTCCCGGGAGATCAAGGACTTTAAGGATTTCTATCTCTCCATAGCAGGTTGGTGGTGGGGCACATGGAATTTCTGGAATCTGCCTTCTTGGAAGTTTGCTGTCTCCCTATATGCCTTTGAGGTGACTGAAGGGGCCTCTGAGGAATTTTGAGCTTAAATATTAACGGGTAACTGGGGGTAGCTGACTAAGCCTTTGACTCAACAGAGGATTCTGGTAAAGTAGCTGAGGGTAACTCTCAAGTACAGGCTGGAAGGTGGAGAGAAATCCGCCCTGTTTGCTTATATTCTGGAAGAAGGAAAATGGGCCCCAGGGCAACTCAGTGGCTCACTTTACTGAGATGAGTTGGATTAGGGAAATCTTGCCATGCAGGTACAAGGTGGAATTGAGAAACCTTACATGTGTGAGTCATCGTTAAAGCAGTTATTTGGAAAAACATTTTTTCTGGATATAAATAATGTGTGCTTATTATAGGAAGTTTTGAAAACATTAGGAAGGATGTTTATCATCACCCACATTGTGCCTAGATCCCTCTAAGGTGCTCTGTAGTGGACATGGTCAGTGCGGAAAACAGGGAACCAGTCGCTGATAGGAGAGTTCTCAAAATGGTTTGGAGAATAGTGACACTGGAGCTGTATTGGCAGGAGAGGGTGCCGTGGGAATGGGCTGTTTTCTTCCGTCCTTTCTCTCTTCCTCCCGTTCTCTCTCTCTCTGGGTCTCTTACTCTTTCTGTCTCTCTCTCTCTCACTTCCCCCAACCCCGTCCCTGTCTCTTTCAAAGTGTCAGCACTTCCTTACTTAAAGCCTCAGAGGTATCCTGCTGTGTAAAGTTCATTTAAACTTATTGAATGCAGGAATTGCTAGTTTTTTAACTTGTTGTTTAAAAAGCTTTTCTATGGAAAATTGCAAACCTATACTAAAATAGAAGATTGTAACCAGTTCTCACATACCTGTGAAGTAGCTTCATAATTGACAATTTATAGCTTCTTGGGTTTCATTTAATCCCTGCCTACTTCCACCTTTCTTGTTATTTTGAAACAAATTCCAATTCTGTACCACTGCCTGATTTGGGATTGACAGTCTAACTCTTTACCTGCTGGGCCACCAGAGCTCCCTCTTTACTCGGCATCAGAGGGGACACACGATGAAGGTGCTGAATATACTGGTCTAACAGTGTGTGTGTGTCTGTGTCTGTGTGTCGGGGTGTGTGTGTGTGTGTGTTTCTGTGTTTGCTTTCAGATCATTACGTGGAGGTCCTGGGATGCAAGATCCAGTGTGAAGAAAATCTCACCCCCGTGGTGGGAGGCTACCCCGTGGAGAAGTTCGTGGCCACCATGTATCATTACTTGCAGTTTGCTTACTATAAATGTAAGTACTTCTGGGAGACCTTGTGTGCGAGGTACGCAGTTCTAAGCCTCAGTCTGTCCATCTCTCCAGTAGGTTAATAGCCCTTTGCTCGGGGGTTCCTGGGAGTCCGTCGTGGTGCTGCTGAGAGCCTGGGTGCCCGTGTCTTGCACAAAGGTCAGGTGACCGAGGTCACAAACCCTGCCACTACCGCCTGGGTTTGACTTCCCGATTTGCCACTCGCTCACTGCTCTGTGCTTTAGGCTCCTCACCTGGATTGTGGTAGACTTCATAAAGTATGTGGTTCGAATCCACCAGCTGCTCTGCAGGAGAAGGATGAATCGTCTCTTCCCATGTGATTTACTGCCTCTGAAAACCCACAGGAGGGTCTGCTCGGGTCGGTTCCGACTTGATGGTACTCAGCAACAGTGGCATTGTCCCATCTGTGTGGGATTGTTGAGAGGATCAAATGAATTCAAGATGTGAAATGCTTAGGAGAGAGCCTGAATAATGGCTTTGAAAAGGATTAGTATTCAACTAGCTCCTCTGAGGCAGATTGAAAATGTCCAGTTTTCACTCACCGCTGGACCGCCCCATCTGCCCTAACATCAGCCTTGTTCCTGCTCTTTGCCCTCTTGCTCCGTCTGCATGTTCTAGGTTCCTTCGTTTGCCATGACGTCTAACAGAAACTCACAGACTGTCAGAGAAATGGTTCACTCAGTCGTGGAGGCTAGCAAGCCCCAAATCCATGAATCAAGCTGATTTACAAAAAGTGGCTGAGGCTGGAGAAGCTATGGTGGCTGGTTCAGGCCAGCCACCTGGTCGCAGAGGTCATTGATGGTGGGCTGGGCAGCTGTAGGCTCCGGTTCATAGAGCAGCGGGACCAGGTTAGATGCAGTTAGATACAGGTTAGATATGTTGGAACCTTCCCAGAGCATTCCTCTCTATATGATCTCAGGCCTATGAACCACACCCACAAGGGAACTACAGGTGACACGCTGGGCCTTCTAATAAGATGATGATATGAAGTACATCCCACTGTAAACCTACCTCTTTAACACACAGCCGTCAGCCAGCTCCAGAATGAGCTTGTTAGCACAAAGAGCCTAGAATTTATAGGGCCCTGCAAAATTGAAGGCTTTGGCTGCAAAGGATGAGTTACTTGATTTACTACATGACAGACAGTCCCACACTGGCACCTTGGCAGTTTAATTCCTTGTGATTTTTATGTAGTTTAGCAGTTTACCACCCCTTCCCCAATCCACCCTTCCCGGCATCATGTCCTTCTCCTCCTAGCAACATGTCCTAACTATGTGAGGTGAAGCCTCATCTTCCTGCCTCCAGAGAGCACTCTGGCTGCACCTTCTCCAAGGTGTATCTGTTCATTCTCTTGGCTGTCCATAGGATGTTCAGTGTTCTTCTCCAACACCACAGCTCAGAGGTGTCAACCAAGGAGAGGAAGACCCTCAACCAAGTGGAATGACACGGTGACTGCTGCAATGGGCTCTTGTGTGTCAGGAGGTGAGGATGCGCAGGACAGAACAGGGTTCAGATCTTTTGTTCATAGGCCAGCTATGAGTCATACTCGACAGCATCTAACAACAACCTCACCCCCCGCCACCTCTGCTGTTTTACGCCTCAAGGAGTTCTGGAGTCTGTAGGCCATAGGGTGGTGAGATGGGACACAGACCCCCAGAGCTGTGGTTACCAGAGTTCCTGTCTCACAGCCCAGACACCAGTTCTGTGGCTGCTGCCGTCTGAGTGTCCTTCTAGTAGATGAAGAAATGTTATCTCAGGTCTCATTTCCAGTCTCTTGATTAACTTTAAAACTTAGATCAAAGTTGAGTAAATTATTTTAAGTCCCTATATTGTTATCCAATATGGATTGAGGCTCAGTGTCAAGAAGACAAAGATTCTCACCACTGGACCAATTGGCAGCATCAGGATGGATGGTGAAGAGATTGAGATTGTTCACAGTTTCAGTTTGCTCGGCTCCACAGTCAACACTCTTGGCACCAGTAGCCAGGAAATTAAAAGACGTATTGCGATGGGAAAGTCTGCTGTTAGGGACCTCTCTAAAGTACTCAAGAGCAATGGTGTCTCTCTGGAGACTAAGGTGCTCCTGATACAGGCCATGGTCTTTGCAATCACTTGTTATGCATTAGAGAGTTGGACAGTGACTAAGGAGGATAGAAGGAGAATTGGTGCCTTTGAGCTTTGGTGCTGGAGAAAAGTATTGAGGGTACCGTGGACTGATAGGAAAACAAACAGATTCATCCTGGAAAGGGTCAAACCGGGCTGCCCCTTGGAGGCAAGGATTCTAAGGCTCCGTCTAACTACTTTGGACATGTTGCAAGGAGGGACAGGTCCTTGGAGAAGGACATCATGCTTGGTAGGGTGGAGGGACAGTGCAGAAGGGGAAGGCCCTCTATGAGGTAGATTGATTCAGTGATGGGGGTAATCGGGATGGGTGTGTCAGAGACGGTGTGATTGGCACAGGACAGAGCAGAGTTTAGAGCTGTTGTACATAGGGTCGCTATGAGTCGCAAGAGACTTGATGGCACATAACAACAACAACAACAACAACATATTGTTATCGGGCCCTCAAGTCAGAAGTGACTCCTAAATGACCCTCTAAAAGGTTTTCAGAAGCTGTAAAGCACATGGGAGGAGGAGATGGCCCATCTTTCCCCTGTGGAGCACCTGGTGGATTTGAACTGCCTGCCTTTGCATTGACAGTGCAACCCTTTACCCACTAGCCTGCCAGACCTCACTTTAATGTCTGTCCAACTTCTAAAAAAAAAAGAAAGAAAATCTACAAACCCTGCTTACTAAGCGTAACTTTAATTCGTTTTGTTGTTTTAAATGACAGAGCTCTAATGGTATAGTCCCTTGGGGACTGTGCTGCTCACCCAGATTGCGCCTGTCTGGGTTCAAATCCAGCAGAGGCTCCGAGGGATAAAGATGGGCAGAGACTTAGAGCCCCAGAAATCCCGGGGGGGCTTGGCTGAAAGTCAGTTCTGACTGGATGGCATTATGTTTAAGTTTTTTAATATTTCAAAAGGTTTGACTCAAAACCCACCCAACACTAATACTGACTCATAACCAAGAAGACCTGTTCCCCAATGACATTATAACCCCAGGCCTAAAGGTTAGGATTTATAACACGCACTCGGGAAGGACGCAATCCAGTCTATAACATTTAATTCCTAACAGCCTGCCCAGGCATCACCATTTATTTATCTCCAACCCTCAGTATCTCTGGCAGGCCTGGTGACTATTAAGTGAAACCTGAATTTAAAAATTGTCATTACAGAAAACGGCCGCTGGGTGGCATGACTTATTCATACACGAGCATTGGTCGCTCCTGCCCATTGGAGCTTTTTGGCAAAAAGCTGTGTTCCTGGGTTGTAAACGGGCACCCTAGTGGCACAGTCATTAAAGCTCTTGATTACTAGCCATAAGGTTGGCTGTTTAAACCCACCACCCACTCCTCGTGATAAAGCTGTGACAGTCCACTTCTGAGAAGGCTCATCGCATTGGAAACCCAATGGGACAGTCTCTGCCTGCCCTCGGGGGTCACTGTGAGTTGGAATGAACTTGGCAGTGGTGGCTTTGCGGTTAAGTTGGAGTGGAATGTGCCACGATATATCCTAGGAATGGGGCAGTCGGAGTGTTTTGGTAAAAAAAAATAAATTCCCAGGGGCTCTGTACCTCATTACTCATTTCCCTTTCACCAGCACCCCCAACCTCCTCAGAACTCAGTGCTGAAGGTGTTTTAGGTTACGTGGGGCAACACTAGGTCAGGGTGCTGAAGGTAGGTACCCCAGACTCCAGGAGATGTCAAGATCAGTGGCTTCTCCGGCCTTCTCCAGCACAGAGTGGGTACCATCTTTGTTGTTGTTGTCATGTACTGTGGAGTTGGAACTGACCCATAACTGACCCTCCAGCAGGTTTTCGGAGGCAGTAAATCACACAGGAGGAGATTGGGTATCTTTCTCCTGCAGGGGGCAACTGGTGGATTCGAATCTCACGTCTTTAGGTGACAACCGAACTCCTCGCCACTAAGCCACCAGACCTCCCATCTGTTGGTATAGTCTGCCAAACAAAAGGTCAGTGGTTGGAATCTAGCAGTCACTTGAGGGGACAAAGATGGGCACTGTCTTGCCCTGAAGCCTCAGGGACCCAGTCACCATGAGTAATTATCACTCACCTTGGTGGTTTAGCTGTAGAGGCCTGTCTGCAGTTGGAGACTGGCTTGATAAAAGGAGACCCAGGTGTACAAGCCAACTGTAGACAGTACATTCGGCGAGGCACATCCTCCCCAGCCGGCCAGATGAACTGAACCCCTGAGTCCTGGCGTTGGGGCCCAGCCTTCGTCGGAGTGCAGGGCTGAGAGACCAGCTCCGATCCCTGGAACCAGAGATCCTGTGTAGACATACATTTCTTGGTGGATTTTTTGTTTTGGTTTTTTTCCCCCTGCACATATACTGTTATATGCAGCCTTTCATTTACGTTGATTCTATTTGTGCAGACATGTCTACAAAGACGTCTGCTTAACAAGGGATACCTGTGTGCTAGAGGCAGTCCCAGCCCCCATGGCACCCACCTGCGCCCTGCGCTCACAGAGCTCCTTCCTTCTGGACGGCCCTGTGGGAGGGGCTGCCCAGCAGAGGCCCATCCAAGAGCTTTCTCTAGAAAGCTGCACCTCTCAGAAGGCGTGGTGGGCTGTGCTGATTTCCTGTCCCCCTTTCTCCCTGACCAGTGAATGACCTGAAGAACGCAGCCCCCTGTGCTGTCAGCTACCTGCTCTTTGACCAGGACGACAAGGTCATGCGGCAGAACCTGGTGTATTACCAGTACCACCGGGACAAGTGGGGCCTCTCTGAGGAGCATTTCCAGCCCCGGCCGGTGAGTGGCACCTCTCCCTCCTCGCCTTTTCAGCCTCGCTTCTGCCAGGCTGCCGTGCATGCGTGCAGAGAGAGTGAGCTTTTCCTCAGATGATGGAAAGCTCCTTTCTTCTGTAGCTTTCCTCACCTCCCCTGTAACATGTTGTTGGTAGGTGCCATCGAGTTGACTAAGACTCAAAGCCACTCTTGGAACAACAGATCTGAATCTTGGCCTGTCCTGTGCCAACTTCACCATCTCTGATCTACTCTAACCCACAGTGATAGGCACTGTCTCGATCTATCTTGTTAAGGGTCTTCCTCTCTTTCTCTGACCCTCCACCTTTCCAGGCATGATGTGTTTTTCCAAGGACTGGCCCCTCTTGACAGCACGTCCACAATGTGTGAGACTAAGCTTCATCTGGCCTCTCGGGAGCACCCTGGTTACCCTTCCTTCAAGACATATCTGTTTATTCCGTTGGCCGTCCGTGGGCTAACCGGTACTCTTCTCCAGCACCGCGACTCAAAAAGGCATCAATTCTTCAGTCTTCTTTATTCACTCTCTGGCTTTCAGATGTGTAGGATCAACTGAAAACACCACGTTATGGATCTGGTGCACCTGTCTTTAAACTGACATCCTTGCTCCCAGCACTTTTTTTTTTTTTACTTTTTAACGTATTATTGTTTTAGTCTCTAAATAACTAGAAGCTCTAAAATATTTGCAAACATTACAGAAATGTTTCACTTCATGGAATTCTCTCCTCAACTCATCCCTTGTTGCATATATACTCGTGCATACAGCCTGCATTTGTTTGCTAATACAAAAAAGAATCATATAATCATGTTCTGTTTTGCCACTTGGCTTGTCTTCCTAACGTGGCTTTATACACATTTTTTCCATGTCACGTGCTGATTGCCTCCCTCGTGTTCTTTGCTGACATTCCTTGGGGGGAGTTTCATCCCTTTTGAGGGATGCACCAGCATTGAATGAAATCCTACTTGATGGACAAACACACAGCTTTGCGTGCAATGTCAGAGAACCCTGTTAATGATGAACTACTTTCAGAAGATCTTAGGTTGATTTTTGCCTTTCGTTGCTGGTGGGGCACTTGGCTGTTCTGCTTTCTCTCTCTCTCACCCCCTTTTTTTCTCACTGAATTGATTGTTTCTTTCTTAATAAAACGCCATGGACATCAGAATGAAGCCCTGGCCGGTCTTGTGCGTCTCCACAGTGGCTGCTTGCTTCAGCCCACTGTTGTAACTACCATCAGTCCATCTCGTTCAGGGTCTTCCCCTTATTTGCAGACCTTCTATTTACCGAGCAGGATGTCTTTCTCCAAGGTCTGGTCCCTCCTAGTAACATGCCCCAAATATGTCAGATATTCATTCACGTGTATAATAAAAGCATTCTTCAACGATCTCCACTATCGCATTAATTTTTCTCAACTCTTTATGAGATAACAGATTGAAGTAACCATATTGTTAGCTAGTCAAGGAAGACCCCTCCCCCCAGGAGTCATGTGGCCCCGTGCGGTCCACTGTCTCATTGTAGAACCTTTCATAGCCACAGAGGGGAGCTCTGGTGGCGTAGCGGTCAGAAGCTGTGCTGCAATCCCAGAGAAACTCGGTTCGAATCCATCAGCTGCTCTGAGAGAGAAAGATGAGCAATTTCCTGCCATATAGTTTCTTGCCTCTGAAAACCCCCTGGAGGGTCAGCTAGGGATCACCACCAACTTGACTGTGTAAGCCAACAACAGCGTGGCTACAGAGAGATGCCCGATTTCCTTGGTCAACACTGATCTACCTTCTATCTGTGGGTTTGTTTCTTCTGGATCTTTCCTAGAAATGGGATCATAAGATTAGCCTTTCACCTGATAATTGACATTTGAGTTGCCTCCCCCTTTTGATGGCTCTGCCATAAACATTCATGTACAAATTTTCATTTGGACATACTCTTTTGGGGTTTTTTTAAAGTATATATATACACACACACACACCTTGGAGTGCAGTTGCTGGGTCATCTGGTGACTTCGTGTTTAACTTTTAATGGGCTGCCAGGCACTCTGGACCATGGGCCTGTGAGAGAACTGTGCTGGTCTCTGGTCTCTGTGCGTCCAGTGGTGCGGCTGAAAGTCACTGAGACTCTTGTTAAACATTTATTAAGCACATACGATGTGCCCTGTACTTACCCAGATAGTGAGCAGTCGGAATTGACTCTAAAGCATGGTCACACCATGTGCTCCGTGTGCCCCAGACTAACAGCTTACACCTCACCAGGTCCTACTCGTAGCCTACAGGACCCTTCTACTTCGCCGCCTGGGCCACACCTCCCGCGTCTCCCCTGGCCACGCCGGCCTGCTGCTGGTCCTCCGATCCGGTTGAGGACCTTCCTGCTTGCTGTCCCTCTTCCTGAGCCACCTTTGCCAGTTTTTTTGTATGTCTGGTTCCCCTCTTCCTCCAGGTCAGTTTCACCTCTGCAGGGAAGACCTCCCCTGACCACCTTTCCTGGAAAACCGCCTGCTATTCTCCCCTCCCCCCTTCCCTTTCTCTGATATGAGTTTGATGACATTGCGACCACCTGACATTATATTGTATATTCATTTATTCATCTGTCACGTTCTCTGTGCTCTCGGGGACTTTGTTTTAATTTGCGGCCACCTCCCCTTCACCTAGAATGGCCCCTGGGGCTCGGTAACTATTTTTTTTTAAATGTTTGTGTGTGTGTGTACCGTCAAATCAGATCTGACTGGTACAGGAGGAGATTGTCCTTCATTTTCCAGCAGAGCATCTGGTGGATTCGAACCGTGTACCCCTGGGATTGCAGTGCAGCTTCTTGCCACTAGGCTACCAGAACTCCCCTATTTATGTTTTTTAAATTATTTTTTGGTATGTACTGTCAAATCGGATCTGACTGGTACAGGAGGAGATTGTCCCTCCTTCTCCAGCACAGCATCTGGTGGATTCAAACCGTGGGCCTCTGGGATTGCAGTGCAGCTTCTTGTCACTAGGCCACCAGAATGCCCTAGGGCTCAGTAACTCTTTTTGGAATTACGGCATCATTTTACTTTCCCACTGGCAAAGGAGTCCTGGTTGCCTAGCGGGTAAGGAGCTGTGCTGTCAGCCCAAAGGCAGGTGATTCAGATCTACTTGCTGCTTCATGGGAGGAAGGTGGACAATCTTCCGGGCAATATACAGCCTCTGAAAACCAGCTGGAGGACCCATCGTGAGTCAGTTCATAGCACGTAACACCACCACCCCCAGCAGTGGATGAAGGTCCCAATTTCTCCACATCCCCTTCGTCACTTGTAACTGTCTTTTTATTAATAATCACCCACGTGTTCTGTCCTTTTTAAAATTCAGTTTTTGGTTGATGTTCTCTCCGACTCTCCGCACATAGGTGCTGAGCTAAGATTTGAATATAGATTATGGAGGAAAGCTGAATTGGGACCGTTGTACTTTAAAATGTTGGGAGGCCTAACTTTAGGACTTAATAACTTCATAGAAAATGTTCTCTGCTTGTGTCGGAACAGGAAGCCGTTCAGTTCTTTAACGTGACCACACTCCAGAAAGAGCTGTACGACTTTGCGAAGGAAAATCTAATGGATGACGATGAGGTAAGTTTTCATGCTCAGCACGCGTCTGGCTGAGAGAAAATATTACTCACATCCTCGCTGAAATCACTGAAAGGTCAAGTTGTCCCTGCAAATAAGAAACAGAAGGGGACCTTGAGAAGCAGGGTTTGTGTGGGTGTTTTAATGAAAGGCAGAACGCTGGCCCAGAAGGAAGGGCTTTCTAGGAAAAGGGCTCAAATAGCACATTTCCTGACGGAGTTCAGCCCCACGCTCCAGGAATTCGTCACAGGCCTTGCAGCCACATCTTTTAAGTCTGTAAAAACACAGTGAATATTCGATAAGTCAGCCCTCTGAAGTCACTGAGCGCCTTCCCTGACTCTCTCTGCCTTACTCCCAATTTTTACGTATTAGTCGATTACTGGTTTTAGGGATTTTTCAGGTCCTTACACCTAAGTCATTTTATCATTTCTTTTGGAATTTCTTAAAACTGGTGATTACATGCCATTCAGTTGACATTTAGAAAAAGGAGCCTTAACTGGTTCTGCAGGTACTATTTGTGGTGGGACAGCCTAGTCACAGAGAGGTCATGTCATCAGGGACAGTACTTGGAGCAAAATGAGGAAAGCTTTCTGAGAAAACTAAGGACGTGCCAGATATTGGAGTTGGAAGAGAGCTGGGAGCTTGCCTGTTCCAACCTGACCTCTTTCTTGTTGAGGAGCTTGGGAGACAGAAAAGTCATGTGAGCCATTAACTCAGAGCCTCCAGGCCTGGGTGAGGAAGGAGTGCTGTTAATCCCAAGGTGAGTGGTTCAAATCCACCAGCTGCACCATAGGAGAAAGGTGGGCAGTGTCCTCCAATGCTCTTTACAGCCTCTGAAAACCCACTGGAGGGTCAGCTCTGAGTTGGTTCTGGCTCCACAGTACTGAGTGAGTTTGAGATGGGAACCGCTAAAGGGATATTTAGCGAAGTTTGTGCAGGATTCTACGTGAGATGGACCTATCATTGGTCATTCATTTGTCGCTGAGCCTCAGTTTTTTATCTGTGAAATGGGAGTCATGATACTTGTTGCATATGGAATTGCTCCATGGATTGGGAAGGGCCACATGTGCCCTGTGTCTTAGGCTGGGTCCCTTTGAAGACGAGCCTGAGATAGGACCTCTGATATATTGGAGGGGTCATTTCTCAGAGGGAAGAATGAACGAGGAACCGCTTTTGTTGTTGTTGTTGATTGCCTTTGAGTCCAGCACGACTCATAGCGACCCAATGAACAAAAGGCCTGAAGCCCCTCTACAACTATCGACATTTATCAAAGTTCATAGAGTTTCCAGAGGCGTGTTGTTTAGGAAGTGGATGCCACTCCTGCTTCCAAACCTGTGGAACTGCTACATACTCTCAAAGCTGACACTATGGTTTGGAGAAAATAGAAAAAAAAAATTTTAAAAAATGAGGGTGGGAAGATAACAGTGATAAATAGTAACATAACGGTACGAAGAAAAAAATTAGGATGAGGGCACTTAATTCTCAATAATCAGAGGCAAGGGACTGTTAACATTTTGATATATGTCCTTTTCATTTTTTTCCTTTATATAGTTCAAATATACGAATTAAAAACTCAAATATAATTATATGGTAGCATGGCTTTCCAACTTAACGTCATGATATGAGTAGTTTCTCTTAATTTCTTTAAACTTTTGTTGAGATATTATTCACATACCAGAATATGGGTACTCTATGTACAATTCTTCATCTAGGATACTTTGCTAGGAGAGGCTATTGCTTGGAGAGGGACATCATGCTTGGAAAGGTGGAAGGTCGGTGAAAGAGAGGGCGACCCTCAGCTAGATGAACTGACACAGTGACTGCCGCAATGGGCTCCAGCGTGTCAGGAAGTTTGTGGATGGCTCAGGATGAGACAGGGTTCAGACCCATTGTTCATAGGGTCGTAAGTTGTAATCTACTCGACAGCACCTAACAACAACATTGCACAATTCAGTGGTTTTTAGTATACTCAAAAAATGTTACCACTTTTATCCCCACTGTCTTGTTTTAGAATATTGTTATTTGCCCAAAAAGAAATCCTATACCCATTAATAGTAATTCAGTTTTTCTACCCACATTTTAACTGGGTGAATTATCTTTCAGCCTGTTGACTCATATGACTATGGAGTCATATGAGCTTTTATATATTTGATTACAATATGTTTTAGAAATATTTATAGTGTGTTTTCTATATATTGTTTTTATGTATTCTATCAGCTATATTGAAACAAATATATTATTTGCCAGTATTTTTTCCCACTGTGAGTTGCCATTTTATATTCATATTCTTAATGGTAGCTTTCAAAGCTTTTAATTTTTTTTATTTTATTATTTTTTGTGTGTGGGCATGTACCATAAAATCAAATCTGACCGGTCAACAGGAGGAGAGTTGTCCCTCCTTCTGCAGCAGAGCATCTGGTGGATCAGAACCATACACCTCTGGGATTGCAGTGCAGCTTCTTGCCTCTAGGCCACCAGAGCTCCCTTACTACAGTTGATTTTTACAGATTAATATAGGTCAGAGTACAACTGTCTACTATGGTTTTCAAGGCAGTAGATGATTATGGAGGCAGACGGCCCCACTTTTTTGCCACAGAACAGCTGATAAATTCAAAACACCTTTTGGTTACAGCAGAGTGTTTCACTCTAGTGTTACCAGCACACCTGTAGATAACCACCTGAGTCCAAGCCTGCTGCCGTCTGGTAGACCCTGACTTATGGTGACTGTCCACCTGGTTTCTGAGGCTGTAAGATTTAGTGAGAGAAGACAGCCTCACCTTCCTCCCAAGATGTGGCTTTTGTGTTGCTGCTGTGTACCGTCCAGTCAGAACTGGCTCATGTCTGACCCTCCGGAAGATTTTCAGAGGCTCCTACATTTCGTGGGAGGAGATTGCCCATCTTTCTCCTATGGAGGAGCTAGTGGATTCGAACCATGTACCTTTAGATTGGCAGCACCGCTTTTTACTACTAACCCACCAGAGTTTCCTAAGAAGCAGCTGTTGGGTTCAAACTGTCGACCTTTGGGTTGGCAGCCCAACAAATAACACACTACAGACCAGGGCACTTATAAATATCATAACAATGATCAGATTCACATCCCCGTCTCTGATCATTTCCTTAGGATAAATTCCCAGAGGTGGGTGGAAGGCTCTGAATCTTTTGAAGGTTTCTGCTGCACACAGATAATGTATTAAAAACTAAGATGATGGTTCCAGTTCAGTAAAGCTCGCTCATGTCATAGACAAGTAAACAGATGCAGCCAGGTTGAGGGAGACTGGCTAAAACCATTTAACTGGTTAAAAATTGTCACTCAAGTGGATCAGACCTCACTCCAGGCTTTAGCATTCCTGGGATTCTTGGACTTGACACTCTCAAGATAAAAAGCCCTTTATTGAAGGCTCTGGAGTGGTTTAGCTCATTATGTGAGTAAAGGAGGATTTTTGAAGAGTGAAAGAAGTAATCCACCTATAAAGAATGAGCTATTTTCTTAGAAATGATGGCACATAATAATTTCCAAGTGAAGGCAGTCACCAGCACACTTAAAAGCCTTAGTTAAAGCCTTGAATTCCTTAGAGGGCATAAATATAACTTTCCAACAAAGCACCAGTACTGTTTGGCTGTTGATATTTGCAAAATGTTCTTTATTTTCTGTTTATGGATTGAATTATATTCCCTTAAAATACTTGCTAAGGGGTCCCAGTGAGGTAGCCTATCAGGAGTTGTCCTGTTAACTAAAGGCCACTCGTTGGGAAAAAGATGGGCAGCCTCCTCCCGCTAAGATTCTCAGCGTCCATAAGCCATTGGAACCTGTGTTGGTAGGAGTTGGAATCAACTTTATGGCAGCGAGGTCTGATAGAAAATATTTGCTGCTAAGTCCTAACATTGATGCCTATGGTTATAATCCCCTTGAGAATGGATTGTTTTCCTTATGGTAATGACTGCAGGATTTAGTGGAGGATGTGCTTTGAGCTAGAAAATAGATTAAACAAGTAAAAAGATGGAAACAAAGATGGAAAAGAGAAATGCCCCCCCACATGAATATCTGAGAGCAGGAGCTCCGGAGAAACAAGGGCCTTCCCTCAGAGCCAAGAGAGAAAGCTTAGGGAGCTCTGGTGGCCTAGTGGCAAGAAGCGGCACTACAATCCCAGAGCTACACGGTTCGAATCCACCAAATGTTTTGCTGGAGAAGGAGGGTCAGTCTCCTCCTGTACCAGTCAGATCCAATTTGACGGTACACACCTAAAAAAGAATTGTTGTTTGTTGTTATGTGCCATCGAGTTGCTTGCGACTCATGGTGACCCTATGTACAACAGCCCTAAACTCTGCTCTGTCCTGTGCCAATCACACTGTCTCTGACACTCCCATCCCGATTATCCCAGTCACTGTATCAGAGAGAGAAAGCTTGCCTTAGAGCTGGTACCCTAAATGTAGACTTCTACAGTCTTAAAATATGAGATGATAATTTTCTGTTCATTAAAACCACTTACCGGGTCAGTCTGTCCTGACCCATTCATAGTCTAATAAACCTCAGTTTCTTTCTCTTGCTTTCAAAAAACCCCTCAAAAACAAAACAAAACAAAAATACTTACCAGTTGTATTTTTAGGATCAAAAGCCTCAAACTCATTCCCATTATGTTGGAACCAACTTACAGTGAGCCCTCCAGAGGCTGTAAATCACAGGGCAGGAGACTCTTCCTGTTTGTCCTGAGGAGGAGTTGGTAGATTCAAACCTCTTGACTTTGGGCTGGCAGCATGACTCTTTACCAACTACTCTCAGATTTTATGAGGCTTTGTGTTAAAACATCAGAAGGAACTCAGCCTATAATATCAAACAAAAACTAAAATGAAACAAAGGAGTCCAGCCTGGGATAGTGACAGCAATGAGGAAGGCCGAGTTTTATAGCAGGAGAGGGGTCACCATTGTTTGGGGCGGGCCCATGCTTCCTGACCCTCAGGGGAGGAGGAAGAGTGGAATTTGGTGATTGATTCCTTTGTTCTCTGAGGTCAAGGGAATGGTGTCATCAGCTGGTGGCCAGGTGGGTGGACTTTGGGAGAAAGATCAACACATAGAAATTGGAACATGGCCTCAACTCCTTCACATCGAAGGTTGAGCCTGTCAAGACTTGTTACAGAGAGGGAAGCAAGTGGGCTTCTGGTCCCAGTGGTGGGCAGATGGGTCTTAGTCCCTCCTTGACATGGAGTGAATGCTTCAGCAAAATCCATGCATGCACTTAGCTACTTATCCTTCTGCATGTCTGTCGAGCACCTTCTGTATGTCAGGCTCTGAGGACAAAAAATAAATGCAGATCCTGGTCTTTGAAGAACTCATAATCTGGTGGTCAAGGCAGAAAAGGGACCAGAGAAATTGTGGTTCTGTGAGATACCACTAAGGGGCAGTAGTGAGGAGGACAGAAAAAAGAAGGGATGCTAAGTGGAGTCTTTCAAGGGGTGGCTGGTCTGCTGCTGGCTTCATGCAGGCCCTCTGGGGTCACAGAGCATGAGGCCATGTCCACGTGGTTGGAAGCTAAGGTCCGCTCCAAGGGAGAAGTCAGGTCCTCTGAGAAGCGACAAAACAGGCTTGCGCTGGTCTGAGAAGGCAGTGAAGACTGCTCCTTGTGTTAGATAAAAAAAAAGAGTGTGAAGGTGCAAGGGAGAGAAATAAAGAAAGACATTGGTCCCAAGAAACAGACAGTCCTTTATTGCGTGGTCTGAGAGGGACAGCAAGTGACCCGGCCGCATGGCAGCAAATGGGATCGAAATGTCCTATGAGAAGTTTGGGGGGTTTCCTTTTTATAGGGGACCTGGGGAGTTCTAAGATGGTACTTCTCGGAACTTGGCATGTTAATTAAGTTAGGTTTTAGCTATTTTTTTTATTATTTTTGTGTGAATGTACCGTCAAATCAGATCTGACTGGTACAGGAGGAGATTGTCCCTCCTTCTCCGGCAGAGCATCTGGTGGATTCGAACCGTGCACCTCTGGGATTACAGTTGCAGCTCCTTGCCACTAGGCCACCAGAGCTCCCCTGGTTTTAGCTATTTTTAACCAAGCACAGATGCTTATCCGGATCCATTGTCTGGTCTGGTCTTTGATATGACCGGCTTAGGGGTTACAAGTTTCTCAGGAAGTGGTCAAGCTTGGGGGTGGTGGGGCAACTGCCGTATTCTTCCTTCATCTTGGAAACAGTATTCAGCATCTCACCTAAAGTGGCGAAGGCTGCTTAACAGAGGTGTGGTTTTGTCTCTTACAGGGAGAGGTTGTGGAATACGTGGATGACCTCTTGGAGATGGAGGAGACCAGCTAGCCCACAGTAACCAAAGTGACCTGCCCTTAATGTTCAGGGAACGGAAGACACTTTGCCTTTGTTCCCACTCCCCCAGGTTGTTGATACCTCAAAGCCTTCCTGTCAGTCTGTGAAGGGAAAGGGAAGTCCCATCTCTGTCATTCCTGTAACCCAAGGTCAGCCTGCCATACCTATGTTCACACCTGTCTGCCTGTCTTCCTGCCTGCCCTTTCCAGTGTTTGCACCTCTCCCGCCAGCTTCACACCTGCCTTCCCCATATTACCAGCGTTTCTCATCTTTCTGGCACCCACGGATTGCTATTTTGTCTTGTTTTCTCTCCTGAAAAATCAGTATTATTTTTTAAGTAAGGAGACACTCCTAAAAGTTGATAGTTGTGAAAACCTACTTTGAGCTTTCTTCTCCTGCAGATTATAGGCTCCCTTTTCCTGTCCCTTCGTCAGGAAAGATGGCGGAGGAGCAGAGCTAAGCATCTCCAAGCCGCATGATGGCCTTCACTTGTCTTCCTCATCCTGGTACCCGTAGAAAAGCATGATGGGTAGACAGTATAAAGTGCCGAAAAATGGCTTGGCTCAACACCTTTGCATCTCCAGTCTTACAGTGCTTGGTTGTTCTCACTTGGAGACTTGGCTTAACTATAATGCTCAGAGTTGCAAATGGAAGAAAACCAGAGGGTGCCTAGTTTAGTCTTTCAATAAATATTTATTGAACAACTACTGTTTGCTAGGCCTTGAACTGTGCCCTGGAAACACTACATGAAATATTAGACAAAAGTACCCATCATCATTGAGCTTATATTCTTCAAGGAGAGACTGACAACAAATAAACAAGAATAAATAATGTCCAGGGTTCCTGATGGTGATAATTGCTGTGGGGAAAAATAAAGAATGGAAGTTGATAAGGAGTTTTGGAAATGATGAGACAGGGGGGTTTTTTTTGGCTTTTTTTTTTTAACTTTTTATTGTGCTTCTGTCAATTTGCTGTGCTGAGGTAATCCGAGTTTGCTGTGATGCTGAACCTTGTACCATTGGGGCCTCAAATGCCATGATGCCTGCCCATGTTGGACAATATTTGGTGGGGCTCCCAGTTTTAAGACAGGTTGGGAAGCAGGAGTGGCATCCACTTCCTAAGCCACATGCCTCTAGAAACTCCATAGAGTTTGGAGAAACTGTAGTTATAGAAAGGCCTCAGGTGTTTTGTTCATGGAGTTGCTATGAGTTGAGCACAACTCAACGACAATCAACAACAACAATTGTGCTTCAGATGAGTCAGCTATGGGTTGGTTCCGACCGACAGCACACAAGAACAATGTTGTGTTTTGAGTAAAAGTTTAGAGCAAAATGGTTTTTCATTATAGTCCCCACATTGTAAGGTGACCACAGCATAAATGGGGTGGCCGAGGGGGTGACACTGAAGCAGAGAACTGAGGGAAAGTGGCCTCAGGAAGGATTTTCCCAGTGGAGGGAATGACATGTGCCGTGCTGTAAAGTGAGAGCATTCTGTGTGGCCGGGGAACAGGAGGCCAGAGATGGACTGAGAAAGGGGGCAGGTGGAAGGAGATGAGGTTAGAGAGGTGCCGGGATATGGAGTGGGAACAGAGACGACGGCGTACAGGTCTGACGTAAGGCCAGAGTAAGACCTTTCTTTTGTGCCTGAGTGTAGTGGGGCCACGTCCCATTCCCCATAACCAAGGTAAGAACAAGCTCACTCATGCTTACACACTATTGTAGAGCGGACAGTTTTCACGACTTTTTTTGACCACATCAGCAGTTCTGCTTTTGGTGATACCTGACATCTTTCTCTCAACACCATAAGGTCTTCTTACCTAATCAAACTCACACCCTCACTCATTGCTGTAGAAGTGGAACCAACTCACAGCTGACCTTGTAGCAGGTTTTCTGAGTCTGTAGACGGCACGGAAAGAGCTTGTTCATCTTTTCCCCGTGGAGCAGCTTGGGGGTTTGAACCACATGCCTTTGCATTGGCAGTGCAGCCTCCTATCCACAGGCCACCAGAGCTCCCTATCAAAAAGGAGCCTCTTCAAATACATAATCCCTGGCAGGGACTGAATCCCCACTGAGCAGAGTACGCCTGGGCGTATGTCTACTTCCTGACCTCCAAGAAGCAGTTTCACAGTGGTTTCACCACTTTTTTTTTTTCAGTTGCTCTGTAGACTGGGAGGTACCTTTGGGTGGGAACCCTAGGAGGTTTGAGGAGAGGAGTCCCCGGGTGGACTTACATTTAACAAGAATCTCTCTCTCTCTCTGCCTGGGCGTCTGTGTTAGGAAAAACAGACTGTGAGTAAGCATGTACACAGGGATTCCAGTCAGGGGCAGGCAGGGAGGGCTTGTTGGCATGGACCTGTGTGCAGTAACAATGTAGGTTGTGAGCAGTGACCAGATTCTAGGTCCATCTTTGACAACACAGCCAGTAGAATCTGCTGACAGAGTGGATATGGTGATTGTGAGAAAGAGAAGCGCTAACACTGAAGTCTAGTTTTCTGGCCTGAATAAGTTCAGGGATGGAGGTGACGTGTACTGGCACTGTGAAGATGGGGAAAGGTGGGTGAGGAAGGAACGGGAAGCAAGGCCGGCACTCAGGTTGGGATGAGAAGCTCTGACTGAAAAAGGAAAGGGTGTTTTTCCCCTTTGAGTTTTCTCAGGTCATGTTCCCTAGCAAACCCTGAGGCTACACATGGCGATAATTGTGGGCTGAGAGAAGCTTTCGAGGAACAGACCCTGGGATGTCAGGGGGGGTAGGTGGGTGGGTAGGTTAAACCTCTGAAGGCAAATCATTTGGTCAGCTGAGGGCTGTTCTCTACAGAGTGGATGCTGTGCGTTGTTGACAGCCGCCACGCACGTTACTGCGGTCCACTGTGGAATGGCGAGGGTGCCCATGTCTGGCGCTGGAGAGGATCGGGCAGTAGCACCATGGTACCCACTCCTGGAACCAGTGTGTAAATGGTACTTAAAACCATAAGGCAGCTCCAGCAAGGTGTGTGTATTGAGAAGCCCAAGAAAAGCCAAGGACCGAGCTCTGGAGCTCTCTGGGAAATGAGAAACCAGCTAGAAAGGTGGAGAAGGACCGGCCATTGAGCTCAGAGAAACCCGGGGGAAATGTGGGTCCTGATGCCAAACGTGAGATTTGCTCACCTTTATTTCATCCTCCAGAAAGACACTGTGTCTATTTGGGGCGGAGGCAGGAGAAGCCTGGCATGGGATCTGGGAGACGGGCGCCGCTGTCATGGGAAGATGAACATTTGACCTTGAGCAGTCCCCAAGGAGAAAAGGGCTTTGGGTGGTTAGTGCGGTGTTTATTGGGGTGGAAGTCTCATGTATTTTTGCTTTTATAGCCCCCCCGCCCCACACTGTTCCTTCCACCTTCTGGGAAGGCAGATGCACCCTCCTCATACTCCTCCCTAACCCCCTTTTGAGAGCACCCTTCCACCTGGACAGATGGTCCCTACCCAGGTTCTGCTTCGGCCCTGACCCAGGATAATAACCCATCCTGTTCTCTCAGCTTGCGTCTGGCCCCGTAAGCAGAATCTCTGCTCCCAGGGGGCTGTGTGGCTGAGAAGTTGCTGCTGTTCTTGGCCTCGTGATGGCACGCTTATGTTCACAGCAGCCCCACTTCCAGCCGCCCAGCCCTGAGTCCGATCTGACATGACTTCCTGCTAGGAATGTGGCCTGGCCCCCCCAAGGTGAGGTTCTGGACTTTCCCTCACCGCACGCTGCACTCCACCCAAAATTTCCTTTGAAGTCTGTAGGGAAGAGGGCCACAGGGAGCATGGTAAATAGAGGGGAGCCCGGAGAGTGGGTGTCCTGCCCTCAGATTCCCGAGTCTGTAGATTGTACACACCACGTAGCTCCCAGCTGCCTGAGGAAATGAAAGGAGACCCCACAGGGACCCGGGATGGGCCACATCCTTATTCCTCTTGTGTCCTCTGCAGGGGTCACACGGGGCCCCCTTGCTTTGAGTCTTTGAATTTTATGGGTGATGGTGTTCCACATGAGCATGTGGGAAGACGGGGGGGGCAGAGAAGAGCCCCCACCCATTCTCAGAAATCTTTTTGTCACTGGAGATTGGAGAGTACCTTCCCACTGGAGAGGAGAGCTTGGTGACGATGAGGTCACTGTTTTTAGTACAATGCAGATTGTGGAACCAAGTAATTCCATCATACTTTTTTTTTTAAAAAAAAATTTAGAATAAAACCAAAATTATTAAAAAAAAAAAAGTGAGCCGCTGTTGCAAACCTGCCATGAAACCTCAGTTGCAGGCTGCACTCAACAACTTCAACCCAACACCCCTCGGAGTGTGTTTCTTGGAAGAGCCTCGAAGATTCTTGGATTAAACTTCCATAGGTTCCACATCAGTCTGGCTTGTCTTTTGAAAAAACAAGCAGGTTTGTGTGCTTTGTGGAAGATTCCAGATGTGCTCTTTGACCTTAGACCACCTGAATGGCACCCAATGTTGGCTGCTCTGTTTCCTCAGGCTGGTTGGTCCCAGGGAGGCTGCCCTACACCCCCAAATCAGGGGAGGGGAGCACACCCTCTGACCACTGTTGATGTACAGATGCATGTGTTTGAACGGGACTGCATTGCACTGGCAACCCCAAGGTGGTGGTGGTGGTGGCTGGGTACCATCAAGTCCAGCGCTACTCCAAGCGACGCTGTGAACAGCTTTCCTGAATCCTGCTGTAGTCTGTGCCGTCCTCATCATGTCTGACACACCGGAGCACATTGCTGAGGTCACTGTGTCAGTCCCCCTCATTGGGGGTCTCTCTCTCTCCGTTACTGACCTCCCACATTCCCCAGCATGATGACCTTTTCCAAGGAGTAGCCTTGCCCAGCCGTACTCCAAAGTATGAGACGAAGCTTCGCCATCCTTTCCTCCAGGGAACACTGGCTGCGCTCTTCCCGAGACATGATCTGCTTGTTCGTTAGGCATCCATGGTGGTTGGTTCGAATCCATGGCAGAAAGATGGACAATCTCCTCCTGTGCGATTTACAGCCTCTGAAAATCTACTGGAAGGCCAGCCACGCGTTGGTTCTTACTCCACGTCAAGTGACTTTTTTTAAACTTTAGAATTGAGTGAAGTGTAGCACATCCCAGTATTTCCAACACTAAGGTCTTTCTGTTGTTTGGTGGATTTTGTTTTGTTGAAAAACAAGACCAACCTTTTAACGAC